CTAAAACATACTAAACTGATATTTAACATTTTTAAAACAGTAAAAACTAAACTAAAACCAGGAAAACCCGCTGGTTTGGAGAAAAACGGAAACTTAAATGAACCGAAGATAAAACCTTAAAACTAAACACAGTTGTAAATATAAAGAAAACTACAAAACAATTATAACTCGGGCACCGAGTCACTCGTTTTGAAGTGGGAAGGCATCAGATGGAGGAAAAAAGTGATTTAAGTTGCATTCAAATCAAACAGTGATGACCTTTTGATGGTTGTTTGCATACGTTTCTAAAATGATTGAACAACACCCACACACCAGACTAAGGGGATCAGCTTTGACTGTTTAAATCTCAAACATGCAGCTAAATGAATTTATACTGTTTTACTGCAGCCAGCAAAGCTCCACTGTAAATCTCTGTCCTGTATTCTCCTTTTAAACCTACGGTGAGTCATTTTTTGAGTTTATTTAACAGAAAAACATTGCTGGTCCACCTAATCGCATTTTAGGTATTTTGTTATTCGGAGGAGAAGAGAACTCATAGGCATTCATGTGCCATGAAGTCAAATTTTAATTCATGTCTGCTCCTTCAGACTCAAGATATAAAACGATCCCCTTCACCAAAGCGATAACTCGACTAGCATCTGGATAGAATGTCACCCTCTTCCTCCTCACTGCAAGCCTCGTCCCCTGAGCTGAAGTCAGGGCTCTAACACAGGAAAATGTGCTTATTTATTAGACCCTCTCATCTTCTGACAGCTGACAGGAAGCCAGCTAAACAGCAACAGCTGGAAAAGAGAGTTTTTCCTTCCCACTGTCGCCAAAGTGCTTGCTCATAGGGAGTCATATGATTGTTGGGTTTTTCTCTGTATATTATTGTACGATCTACTGTACAATATAAAGCGCCTTGAGGCGACTGTTGTTGTGATTTGGCACTATATAAATAAAATTGAATTGAATTGGTTATAAGCTAATGTTAGGCTTGATTGACCTGAAGATCAAACTTTCCATCTGATTAATAACACTGGGTCAACAAGAAAGGAATCTCTGAACTCTGTCATCGGTGGCTGATAGTTGGTGTTGTACGTTACCCCCTCAGTTCAGTGACAGTCATTCCAGTTGGGTATAAATGGCCCCCTTAACTCTGCTCTCAAACCATTGTCTTCTCTGTTAAAATGTGAACATTTATATCCTTTTAGTGCAGGTGTGGCAGCCTACACCAACGCTAACTATCATCCACCTATAATGCAGTCTTGAGATCCCTCCTGGCATTTCAACCCCCAATCACACTTTGACCCGTGTGACCTTAATTACTCACATGATGGCAGGGTGGGTCAGTGACTCTCAGTACCAATTCTAAGTTGACAAGCCCACTTAGGATGAATGCCTCATTCTATCTGAAATGAAGAATCAGAAATCCAGAGTTTCTGGTCTTTTTTAGCTAGAATGCCCTTTTTTGCGTGGACTTCTCAGTCGGTAGGCACAACTTTTCAATTCAAGGTGGCAATGGTGAACCTATACAATAAGAAAGCTGAAATCAGGCATTACATCTTTTACTGGAATGCAGTCAACTCAGGTATGACTCTCACACCCAGCTTCCAGATCCAGATTCCAAAGTAAAAGGCACACAGCATAAATACCTGGGACTCCCCATCGGCTTTTAAAACTGAAGATGCCTCTTTGATCGAAGTTTAACATACAAAGAAGCCCAGTTACCTGCAGCTCAGATGCTTAAGACTACCATGACCATGATGGCTGAGAACCTACACAGACAGGAACTGAATGGGCACATGATAACTCAAAGGCAATTTCTTCAGATTTAACCTGCTAGATTGTTTTTTTAAAGCCAGCAAAACAAGTGCAAAATGCAAGATTTGCTAGTGTCTACTTTTTAATGTGCTAACTTGTGCTTTAACAGATTGAAAAGGACTCCGATGTGCTTGTGGTACAGCGGGCCCTGCAATGAACTGATCTGAAAGAGATCATCTTTCTGTGTTTCTATTTTGTTGACTTTCAACAACAAATTATACACTCTGTTAGAGCTTCATAATGAGTACAGTTTCAGATTATAGTGCTATAATTATGAAAATAAATGATGATAGTTTTGTTTACTATCAGCGAGCTGTTTGCAGACAAACAAAAACACACGCAGTGCGGCTCCACACTCGCTCAGAGACCCTGTTGTCCATGAAGGGAGTGGAAACACAAGAGCCCTAAAGTTTGTGTGTGTGTGTATGCGAGTGTTTGTGTTTTGTTAGTGAGTGAGTGCGTATGTGTGTAAGTCACTGGGGGGGATAAAGAGTCATTGTCTGCAGCTGGTGCATCCCCCCACTCCTCCTCTCTGCAGCTGTGAGGAAATCAAATGCTGCTCTTTTCCCCCTCTCTGCCTCTGTCACAACCTGCTGATGCCTTATTAGGTCATTCGTGGTGAAACGTAGTGACGATTTGTGTAGCAGGTACACCAGTGAGCTGGCAGAGATGGAAGAATGCCCTGCATAACACACACACACACACACACACACACACACACACACACACACA